CGTAAGAATTGGTGTTATAACCCATCCCATAGTATTCATTAGTATCACCCCGAATTTATCACTTCAGTGGTCTGGTTGCAATGAAGGTGTCAGAGGAGCGCTCCTCACCTACTCCACTCCACAATCAGTCATCTTGGCTTCTGCAGTCTGAAGTCACTTGAGCTACCTCAGCTTACTCTCTTTTTTTAGGAATGCTTACATGCTCCTTGCCACGGGATCTACCACACAGCCGCTAACAAGAACAAAACGATGGCAGTGCCTTAAACTGTTGTAGCTGGTTTAAAGTTGTTCATCTAAACCCAAGAATATTCTGCAATTTAAAATGAAGCTGTGTGCATGTCTCCAGCTGTTTGTGGTTTCAGAGGGGCCTGGCACTTGGACACTGAGGGATTAAAGGGGAGAGAGATGAGTGCCTGAAAAGAAACATATTATTTTTTAGGTGTTTAAGAACCTTTAGTCAGAAATGGGGTGCAAAACAAGCCAACAAGTAAAGATGTGTGTATCAATAGTTAAATCCACACAAGTGCTGCAATAGCCGTCATGTTGCATCCCCCCAGCTAATGCGTGGGCGAATGCGCACCCATCCCACTGCAGTTCTTTGAGAGTTTAAAAATTCTGGATTAGATTACTTCTAATTTTGTTCTGGTTAATTCTGTTTGCCAGAGTAAAATTTACGTGACAAGTTCTCTAATTTTAACTGTGATGATGGTTTGTCAATATGTATCAAAGTTTTCTATCTTTTTTCCATTAAAGTAACTCTTTCTAACCTGTTGTGATAAAAGGGAGTGGTATATATATTTTGCAATTCTGTATTTTGTTCAACACGGTACCTTTTGGCATGACATTGCAGACGATGTGCAATGATGTGTACATAAGTGAGAGATTTGCTGTAGTCTCTGAAGCATATTTGGAAAGTTGTATTTAAAGATTAGCTTATTAATGTTGTGTTTCAGGGACATGTAGGTAATTACTTTTACAGCTATAGATGGGTGATGCTGTCTTGTGAATGCAAAGTAGGTTTCTTCACTCTGGCTGAATCAGCTCTTTGTGGTTTTCAGTGATATTAACCAGTGCCTTATGAATGTGCCGGTGCTGGGCAGGTTTTGCGTTCGCTGTTCCTCTGTAAAAGCACAGGTCTTTTTCCCCAGCGCTCACAGGAAGCCTTCTGCAGGCCAACTGATAAGACTCCCTCCTGTGCAGGTAGATGCAACGTAATGAAATTGGATGTGTGTGCTGGGCTTTGTAAATTAAATGAGATTGACCCCAGCCATTATCTCATTTATCTCATTTACATTGTAAAATCAGTATCTACACTATTGATTAGGGCATAATTAGTTAATTATGAACAGGAAAATGCAGAGTGATGTAGGGCTTGAGCACAGCCAGCTGTACTGCTAAAAAACTAATAAAAACAATCCAAGGACATGAGCAGATGGAGATCACTTTATTAAAAGAACAAAGCAGGCATATTTCAGGTATGGAAATGCCTAATCAAGCTTTCTTGCTGTGAAAGTGTAGCTGACCTGCATTCTATACTTTTATAAATGAAAAATGTTTTCTTTTACAATGTTTTAATTGATTAATCTAACTCCTTCAGAATTCACCTTTCTTTTTCACACCCCGTTTTCCCAGTATGTAGTGGGCATGTATCTATCCTCATTAATTGCTGGAATGAGGAACACAGCAATTGCTAATTGTGATGCATAAAGTAATTTCAGGCTAGTTAAAACACTGATAGTAAGCAATTACCTGTCAGTTAGAGGTAGTGTGGGAGGTTAGGTTAGCTTGTCTTTGTGTGGAGCTCTGTTTTTATTTTCGCAAAGTTTTTGGTACAACTACTAGCCAGGCCACGAAAGGTGGCTGTGCGCTCAGTTGCGTTTGTAAATCATGTACTTAACCACAGAAAAAGTTACCCACATATAATAACAAGCTAAAATATCTGCTAGTTTAAGGACTGTTCTGAAGGTGTGACCTTGAATCCGCAAGGATAAAAATTTTAACAGAACCTTTAAAGTGAAGTGCCGTGTGGCTCCTTTGCTCCGTAAATGTCCGTACGGTGATTGATCTGTGAGGGCATTGACTGAAAGCCTGCGAGACTGTCGGCATGACGCCTTTTGTGACCCAACAATTTCATTCTCTAATGAAGCTGAAAGTGCTCCTCGTTTTGTGTTGCTTTCTTATTTTCTGAATCTGAGAGTGGATTTTCTATCTTTTTATGTTGCTAGACAAAAGAACACGAGTAATAGTACACACTTGAGGACTTAATCTCATTTTACTAGTGCGATTTTAACTTAGGTATAAGGTTTTCTTTCGGAATTAGGATTTAAGAATGCCATTTTTTTTTTCTGCACTGTGATGCGTGTAAGCTTCACATTTTGTCCCAAGTCAGTCTCAGCTGACGAGAACTGCTAGACAGCCAGGGCAGCATCTTTAACCAAGGTACAGTGTGTATTCATCCGTTTCCCCAGCATCATGCTCTGGGAGCTGCAGAATCGGTGAATTTGTGTTCCACAATACAGAATTTGTATTCTAATAAAAAGCAGTAAGAAGGAAGTGTTTAAAAATACTTAGTATAGTTTCATTTTTACCACCAGGCAGCTTTTTTTGTTGTGATACATGAAAATGTGCTTTTGTTATCTGCATTTTCTCAGCTGTGCAGATGCAGGTAGAAGCTGTCAGTATCTGAAAACTTTCATATAGACATTTTAAACTGATTCTAAGAAAAAGTAGTTTTTCATCTGCCAAACTGAACAGCTCGGAAGTGATAAAAATTAATGACAATAAATATTAAAAACATTCAGCTTTAGAATGCTGTCTCCAGGTCTGTATTTAATTTCATAATGTTATGGTTATTTCAGCCCAGCCTTCTAACTCCCTCAGCATACTTCTGCAACATGGCTGAAGGTGCAGTCGGGAAATACCACATTCTAGGTACAAAGTGAAAAAGATGGAAGGAGAGATGGCAAAGCATAATTTTAAAGGGGAAACATTTGTTAGTACTGTTTAAAGTCAGATGTAGATTTTAGTATTAAGCTCTGAAAATACAGTAAATCAGTCAGAAATAACGTGATGCTTTATTTTGTGATACTTAGAGGATCCCAGAGTGTTTATGAGAAGAGACTTCTGATAAGCACTACTCAAATACAAGCAGTTACGTGCATAAGACTCTAGACGTAGAAATAGGTTAGTAAAAATATATTCCTTTATAGATGAGAACCTTGAGGCTCAAAGGAGGCTGAATCTTTTGCTGAAGGTCACATACACTGTTGGAATGTAGAAGTGTAACCTATCTCATCTTCCACTCTCAACCTTTTTGTTATTTTAATGTGTCTTTCACAAGAAAGAAAACTGCATATATTCTTATTTGTAAATAAGGTATTTCTACATTAGAACTCTTCTGTTCTAACAACTGAGACTGGTTTCCTTTTTGAAGTGTTTTCTTTGTCCTAGAATTAGATTGAGTTATTACTAAACAATCCTAAGGATAAAGATTGTCATACAGTATCTCCCCTTTTTTAAAAGTACCAAACCCATGTCAGTCCAGTGTTGCATACTGTGGATTGGAAGATTATTGCTTTTGATTTCTACTTAGCGGAAGACAGTACGTGCAATACCCTTACCAGTGCGCATGTCTTGCATAGAACTGCTAAAACCAGGCGACTTCCCTAGCAAGCACAACCGTGACAGACAAAAGCATTTACTCAGATTAAACAATCAGAAAACGGTTACTTCTTTTTATTTGGAGACTAATCCTTGGAGAAAAGTCACATGAACATTTTCTTGTGTTAATACAGCAGTATGTTCTGTTACTTGAATCCTCTTTCTGTGATGCACCATGTGTTCTGCTGATAAATTGCATCCCTCTGTCTTTGATCTGATGATGCCTGTGCCATGCTATTATTGCAATTTTTGGAGATTTTTCTGTTGCATGTTTTGTAGAGGAGAAAATGACTGGCCATGGAAACAGAGAAAGAAAGTGTAAGGAATTTCTTAGACAATTTGATTTTTAAACATTTACTCTGTTTCCTGTTTTTGGATATTTTATATTGGCTTTAATTCAAAGTTTAAAGTCATTTAGTGAAGAGAATATTGCAAAGTAAATTTGGAAAAAAAGCTTTCTTTTTCACACAATACAGGGGGCTATGCAAATAAAATGAAGTTCAGTAGGGTATGTGAAAATCTCTATTATTTACTTGCAAATCTTTTTCTCGTTTTGAGCATATTATTGTACTGATTTAAAAATCCTTTCATGAAGCACTTGTTACATTGTAGCATTTCTTCAGTGCTAGTACATTAAGAATGGGTGAACAATAGCTATGCTGTATGTTTTGATTTTTTTATGTGGACCATGCATAGTATAAAACACTAATGAACATAAAATTGTTGGGTTTACATAGCGCAGTTTTATGAGTGAAAAATCACAGTGACATCTGTTTAAATTATTGCCCCTTTCCAGAAAATTCAAAGCAAATCAGAAAATATTTTGTGCATTTATGTATCAACCACATAATCCTGGTGTAAAAAATAAAATCCATAGCTGTAAATTGAACTGTTGAATATGTGAGCAAACATTTCACAGAGTTTTCCTTGGAAAAGCAGGTGTGTGAAATAGTGTCTTAAAACTGTGAAAATCAATATTGTCACTGTCTAAAAAAAAATCACGAACTTCTGAAAATAAATGGCAATGAATAACATTGAAATACCTAAAAAATTGAGCTGGTTATACATTTTTTCTTTAATTTGCAAGTGTATGAAATAAGATCATTTGTATAAGATGTAGGCAAAGGTCATGTATGAGTGTCTGCATCAGAATATTCCAAATTAGGTACACCCTACTTGAAGTAATTGTGTTTGAAGATACCCCTTGTAGAAGATGGATTTTCCATATCATGGTAATGGAAATCTTATGCTGAGAATTGCAGGAAAGGTCAATCTAAAATAGTACAGAAGTACCATTTATATATATATATATATATATTTTTTTTTTTTTTCGATTGCAGGTGTGATGAATGCAGACTTTGCTACCATTTTGGCTGTCTAGACCCTCCCTTGAAAAAGTCTCCTAAACAGACTGGCTATGGATGGATTTGTCAGGAATGTGACTCTACATCCTCCAAAGTAAGTTAATTCATCCTGTGAAACAGCTGAAGTATTCTGGTTTTAGCAGTCTTACTTAGCGTCTGAAGATTTTGTTGAATTGCTGTACGTAGGTCTCCTCTGAAAAACAGTAGGTCATAAAATAATGATTTCAGATTCTCTGTAAAACAGGTGAAAACCAGAATGTATGCAAAATGGAAATAATCAATAAAGAGAATTTTGTTTTCCTAGTTAAATACTTTTTTTTCACATTGCATTCTGTCTGAGAAAGGAGTGAGTATGAATACTATATCAGAACTGGTAACTATTGACAAGTGAGAGTATTTCAGGAGTAGTGCAGAATACAAACCTTTAAAGACAGAGTTAGAAAATACATGTTCTTCTAAATAAATCAAGATGATTTGAATTACGAAAGCTGTTTTTTCCATTGGGATATTGTATAAAGGTTGTTAATACTTCATATAGATTGGTGTGCCTTGATCAAATACAACATTTTAAAGCTAGAACTAAATTTTTGAAGTGTATTAAATCTCTTTAATAATATTGACAGTAATATTATGCTTCTGTAGTACTGACTTTTCAAAAAATAAAGGTTTTGATTCTTTCTTTGCCCAGAAGATTCTTTAGTACTGGTGTTCTTTTCTATTGTCAGCACATCTCTGAAGAGACACTTTCCAATTGATTTTCAGAATTGGTTTTATAAATGCATCTGATACCTCAGCGTTAAAATAACAGAGCCTTCTAAAAGTCTTTAAAATTTTACAGGCTATTCTGCCACTTTCTTTGTAGTTCGCAGAATTGTTTAACTAGTGAGGAAGTGACTCAGTGTTTGGATACCCAGGGACACAGCTATGCAAAGATGCTGTCAGAAGTTACGTGTTAGCGTACTTGGATACTTAAACTCTCTCATTATATTACTCTTAAAAATGGGAGATACAAAATGTTCAGAGAGAGTTATAATATTTTGACTTGCTAGTGTCCCTTTCCAACTGGAGAAATACGGTATTCAGTTTCACCTGGGAGGGTTAATCTAATTGTTCTTGTGTAAGGAGATATGAAGACAGACGTCGGAAATTAGCTGTCCACTATAGTTTGGACATCAAGCAATCTTTCTTGAATGCCACTTACATGCAGCGGATGTTCCAAGAGTGAAATAAAATTGTTATTGAATTTCCGTCACCTGCTTAAACTAAGAGGGGTTCTTGATAGCGTTGGTGAAAATCTTGCATCTCCTGTTTTCTTCGTTTCTTCTGAATAAACAGAATAAATAGGGTTCGTAATTTGAATGTGTTTTGCAGGAAATTAGAACACTGTGTACCAGATGAAATTTTAAAAATACTTTATCATGTAAATTGAGTGTGATTGATTTCACTTAGCACAAGACGTGTTCGTTTTAAGGTGCATGTTAAAAAATACATTGTTCTGAAGAGTAAACAAAGTTTATCATTAGAATGATGATAAATATTGTGTTAACTTAGTGATTAGTACAAATGAAAAAAAACAACTTCTTATTGTGTCTAATTTTCTTTTTCATTCATAGACATTTTTAATGAGTAATTTTAAATAAAGTCTGGCACTTTCAAGCTCAGGCGATTTGAATTGTGTAGGAGTGCAGATGTAGTGCATGTGAAAGGTCCTGAAAACTGGTCTTGTGGGGACTCCTTGTGGCTTTGCTTAGGCACTTCCCCATGGCTTTTCCATGGAGTTGTGCAGAGAAGTTTCTCTGAAAAAAAGCTGTATTGCTCTCTCCGTTTTAGAAAGTTTTCTTAGGTAGCTTTTTTATTTTTGCTGTATTCCATAGCGCGTAACAAAATCAAAGCACATGGTCTTGAGTTAAACTCCTTACAGACCTTCATTAATGTGAACGTACTATTTAAAGGATTAGGGCTTTGTCTATGTACACAATAGTTTTCAAAGTCAATATTCTGTACGGCTTTAGGATTGCGTATTATTTACCCGCGATACTGCACAGCTTTTCGCAGCCAGGAGGAGCTGGGACGATAGAGGCTTTTTGTGCCCCTCGCTAGAGGGAGTAGTCTCTCAGAGGTGTACTTAGCGCTCCGAGGAGGAAAACCGTAGAGAAGGTTACGATGTTTGCTGCACTCTGCCTGACCTGTGAGTGAATTGCAAGCCTGAGCTACCAGCAATTTCAATCTCTCAGTCACTCACTAAATCCAATTTTTGGTGTGTCACCGTGAAGTTTCTTGTACGGGTTAAAGCAGTGAAATGGGATTGATTTTCCAGCGTTGGCCAAGGAGGCTATTGTTTAGTTTTCTTTCCTTCAACTTTGTTACAGTACACATTTTAAAATTCCTCAATATATATCTTCTCTAGCAGTGTTGGGCCTTGAAAACAATTGACAGGTAAATTACACTGCTTCAGTGACGAGAGAGATTATAGTGCACAGCATATAATGGTTCAGTTAGTTTTTATTTCTAATTATGAATTTCAATTTTAGATGCTCAGGAAAACTTGCATACTGCTGACAACAAAGATTTCAGATTTTGCTAAGGACTTGCAGGTGTCAGCAGTATACAGGGATGTAATTTAGCAGCAATAAACATATGCTTTAAATTGTTATCTGTCACAAGTGTTGGACATGCTACTTCCATTTTGCTCATACTACTCACAGGTTTCTCCAGCAATTGTGTCAGTTTTTCTGCCAGCGTAACGTATTCCCATATTACCCTGCCTGTCAAATAATAGACAGACAGTGACTTTGCTTTAGGGCATGAGGGCAACAGCTTCTCTGCTGGTAATACTTGCTGTCACTTTTATGGAATGGGTGATGCTCACTACTAAAGTCTGACAAGCTCTCTCATCTCAGAAACATTGTAGATTTTGTTACATCACATGAAAGCTGAAGTAAACCTATAAGCTCTCCATTTCTATAACATTATCCACCTACCCTGTGAAAGGATTACGGTGCGCTTTCAGGATTGCCAAACAGCACTCTAAATCATAAATTTCCTGATAGTTTCACATAGTGATATGCAGAAGGAATATAGAACCTTATTTGAGTTGAATTTAATAAAAAGAAGATAAACAAAATATGAACCAAATTATTCAGTAGTATGATGTGGTATTCACTAGAAATAAATGTGGCCTGACCATTTGTTTGTTATGTGCGATAGGGGTCCCGTTATGAGGCCTCCTTATTATTAGATGTGGATTCCTTTCTATTGCCTTCCATTTAAAAAGTACTGTTTAAAACATCTCCTCCAATTTTGAAAATTTGCAAAGGACCAAGGCAGCAAAGAATTTAAACATATATCATGATGGTTACAATGACCATGCTAGTTAGGTTTCTATCGGCTCATCTTTGCGTACAATCTGTTTTGCAAAACGCTGCAGAGTGTACATGTCAGGTCATTATTTGAGTGCTGCAAGATCAGCTGCCTTGTCTCCAGACTTCTGTTTAGTTTGCTTTTATTTCATCTTTTTACTGATTGCAGTTTGTCAGTGAAAATAAATTGTCAGTATATATGCATAGAATTCTCATCTAAACCCCTCAGGAAGTATTTTCTGCAGCTACAAATACATGACATGCCAACCCTGGCAAGCAGTATTTTTTTGTACACTTTTTGTGTTGGAAAGCAATCATGGGTGATTTTTCTCATTAGCCAAGTAGAAGCATTTCTTTGGGTATATCTTGCTTTCACACAGTGAATAAGCAAATGCAATTGGACACTGTAATATTAAAATAGTGAATATAATGTTTGAAATAATATTTTGAATTAAAAATACTGCTAAAATGTACAGTGTATTTCAAACCTCTTAATTTGGTCAGATAAAAAGAAAAAAGTGAGCAATTCAATTTAATTCCTGTAGTCCGTGTAATTTTATTCTGGTAAAAAATAAAGTGGGTGGTTAAGAAGGCCTATGAGGAGTGTAGAAGTTGCTGATCCTGCTCGTGAGTTGTGCAGGTGACAATCTCATTATGGTTTAGCTATCTAATTTGATTTTCTTCATTATGCCTTTTTTTTCAAACTCAGGAAGCATTTCCTCATACATGTAGTTTCACACAAGTGTGTTAAAAAATAAACAATGAATCCAGAAATTCCTGATGTCAAGGTCTGAAAATTTAGGAAATACCAAAATTAAGGTGGCATGCCACGCTTTAAGTCCTTTTGTGGCTATGCGTGAATGTGCAGCCTTTAAACACGTCATGCTGTGATTTATTTATTTTTTCCCCCCTATAGGACCCCTGCCTTCTCTGATTTATCTGTCAGGGGTCAAAAAAAGGGATTAGTTTGGGTTGGCTATTAGAAGAAGATACTGTCTTTAGGTTTTGTAAGGCATTAAAACTGAAGCCGTAATTTCAGGAATAGAACCGAAATTTGTCTTACCCCAGAGCTCCTGTGAAAATTAGACCAACTAAAATTTTCAAATGTTCAGTAATTTTTTTCTCCTTGTTTGCTGTTGCACAGCTTGGATCCCTTGGCCCAACATGCAAAAATGCTGAATTCTCAAAAGCTGCGGTGGGTGATAGAGTAAGCTGTGTTTTGAAAGTACAAAGTCTCCGTAATTACGTGGTCTGGACTATTGGAAATTGAATAAGTGATTTAATAGAAATTTTAGTTCTTACTCTCCCTGTGTCTTGGCTTCTGTTCTGTAAAATGTCAATACTGCTCCCTTATTTTAGACATTTTCCTTAGATTTGGATGAACTCTTCTCTGGAGCTGCCTTTTCCTGTCCGCTGGCTATAGGAGGGAGCCGAGACAGCTAGTTTAGATTAGCGAGGGTTATAGTTTAGGTGGGATTCTCCTTGCCTGAGTACACACAGAAGAGGATTGAATCAGCATTGCATGGACAGACTTTGTGTAGGCGTTTACTAAATGTTCAGAACAAAACATTTTAAATATAGCCAATATCTTTAACATTTTATATATACAGGAAAGCCCTATTTGAATATAATACATGAGGTTGGCATACAGTGGTAATATATAGTCATGTTTAGTCATGTCTTAAGTATGTTTTATGTATGATCTGTTATTCAATACAATGTGATTTTAAGTAGT